TCTGTTCCTTTTTCATATCAGGAATATAAAATTAGTTCTGACCTCATTAGGATGAAAGGTGTAAAAGGCCGTTGATTTCGGCAATGGTGCTGATTTAATAAAAGACATTATTGGGAATTTTGTACACATCGGGCTTGGTGTAGGCACAGACTAAAATCAATTTGGATGTAAACAATGATGTGTTTCATTAAACAATGATCTAATGCTGCCATTCTGTCCTTAATGAGGCAAGCTTGGAGATCTGGGCTGAGTGAGGGACTTTTGTCTAGTTGTTTTAAATAGGATGCTTTCCAGGAAGTGCAATACAAGATAGGAAGCAGCGAGTGGGTTTTGCCAATTAGATTTCATATCTTTGGAGCCTTGCCTTTTAATTTCTTTGTAGAATTATATCTTGGTTATTTTCTTGTAGACAACTATGGAGATTCTCCATCTTCCACGTCATGGCTCTTCCCAAGGTGCTTTTTTTCAAGAGGCAACTGGACTTTCTGGTTCTTTCCTTGAAGAGGTTTCCCTTCTCATCCAAGACGCTTCCTCAGTTCTGAAGAAGAAGAAGAACGGAAGAAGCTTCTTGGATGAGAAGCAAAACGTTTTCAAAAGAAACATCCATGGATATTCTCAGTAATTCAGATCATGATTGTACCCAAAGTGTTTTTTTAAGAGACAACTGGACTTTCTTGGTTTTTCTTTGAAGAGGTTTCGCTTTTCATCCAAGAAGCTTCTTTAGTTCTGAAGAAGAATAACTGAAGAAGCTACGTGGATGAGAAGCAAAACATTTTCAAAGAAGCTACTTGGATGAGAAGCAAAACATTTTCTATGGTGATTCTCAGTCCTCCAAGACATGGTTGTCCCAAAGGTGCTTTTTTTCAAGGGGCAACTGGACTTTCTGGATCTTTCCTTGAAGAGGTTTCGCTTCTCCTCCAAGAAGCTTCTTCAGTTCTGCCTGAATGATGGAGAATGGGAGGATTTATATTCCTCGCAGTCATCTGGTCATCAGCATTCCCTCTGAGAGTCATTGAGGCCACCTGGAGGTTTCTCTGTTCATCTGTCCAAGTGGCCTCAATGATTCTCAGAAAGAGCGCTAATGACCAGATGACTGCAAGGAATATAAATCTTTCCATCCTCCACAATTCCGGCAGAACCAAAGAAGCTTCATGGATGAGAAGGGAAACCCCTTCAAGGAAAAACAAAGTCCAGTTGCCCCTTAAAAAAAGTACCTTTGGGTTTTCTTGTAGACATTTCCTTACCCGACTAGATAACATCATCAGTGTTAGCAGTTGGGTAATTAAACACCTGCAAGAAAACTATATCTATATATATAAAAGTGAAATACCACTCATGCATCATCACAAAATCTCCAGAACCGTAAAGCCTACAAACTTGGAATTTGGCATGTCTGTTCCTCTTGGCTTCTAGGTGCTCACTAAGAAATTTTTTTTCAAAATGACCATCAGAGCATTAGAATTTCCTATATTATTATTATTACTATTTACACACTCCGATGCTAAGGAGTTCTACTCCCCCTCCCCACCTGAAAAGAAATCTCTTCCAAAGGAAAAACACAAGCAGAGGAGAGGAGTTTCAGTTTTAGTTTCACAGCAGCAACCAGCTTTAGTCCAGAACAGTTGAGCTAAGCCACACCCAGGCTCCTTGCTGTCTCCTTGCTCACACAGCAAATACTGCTTCAGTTACCAAACAGCCCTCAACTCTCTCACACACTGACAGGACTCTAGCCAGATGAACACCGATGGATGCTGGTAGGCAGAGGAAGAATTTTTTTCCCCTTATTTGCCTCCCGAAAAACTAAGCCCCACCACATAGTTTTGTAGTGAAGCAGAGGTATCGAGCTTATTTACATATACATATACGTGTGTGTGTGTGTGTGTGTGTGTGTGTGTTGAGTATATTTACATATGTGTGTGTTTGTGTGTGTATGTGTCTATTACCTATGTGCCATCTATCTATCGATCATCTGTACTCAACACACACACACAAAGCTAGTCGTTGACTTACAACCACAACTGAGCCCAAAATGTCTGTTGTTAAGTGAGACACTTGTTAAGTGAGTCTTGTCCCATTTTATGGCCTTTCTTTATCACCACCGTTAAGTAAATTGCTGCAGTTGATAACTCGGCAACCCGGTCGTTAAGTTGAATCTGGCTTTCCCCATGGACTTTGCTCGTCAGAAGGTCCCAAAAGGGGGGTCGCAGGGACACCCCCGGACGCTGTGACTGCTTAACAACCACGTGTGACTAACTTAACGATACGGTTAAGTGATAAGCTTAAAAAACATGGCAAGGAAAGTTGTAAAATGGAGCGAAACTCAGTTTAACAAATGTCTCACTTAGCAACTTAAATTCTGGGCTCAATTTTGGTCGTAAGTCGAGGACTACCTGTATATAAAATCTCTTTCCCAAAACTAATGAGTAGAGTAGAGTAGGGTAGGGTAGGGTAGAGTAGAGTAGAGTAGAATAGAATAGAATAGAATAGAATAGAATAGAATAGAATAGAATAGAATTCTTTATTGGCCAAGTGTGATTAGATGCACAAGGAATTCGTCTTGGTGCAAATGCTCTCAGTGTACATAAAAGAAAAGATACATTTGTCAAGAATCATCAGGTACAACACTTAATAATAGTCATGGGATACAATAAGCAATCAAATCCTACTAAGAAACAGTCAATAAAAATCATAAGGATACAAGCCACAAGGTTACAGTCCTACAGTCACAAGTGGGAGGAGACGGGTGATAAGGAGTGATGAGAAGATTAATAGTAATAGTAGTGCAGACTTTGTCAATAGTTGGACAGTGTTGAGGGAATTATTTGTTGAGCAGAGTGATGGCATTCGGGGAAAAACTGTCCTTATGTCTAGTTGTTCTGGTGTGCAGGGCTCTATAGCGTCGTTTTGAGGGAAGGAGTTGAAACAGTTTATGTCCGGGATGTGAGGGGTCTGTAGATATTTTCACAGCCCTCTTTTTGACTCGTGCAGTATGCAGGTCCCCCATGGAAGGCAGGTTGGTAGCCATTGTTTTTTCTGCAGTCCTAATTACTCTCTGGAGTCCGTGTCTGTCTTGTTGGGTTGCAGAACCAAACCAGACAGTTATAGAGGTGCAGATGACAGACTCCATCACTCCTCTGTAGAACTGGATCAGCAGCTCCTTGGGCAGTTTGAGCTTCCTGAGTTGGCACAGAAAATATGACTTTAGTATTATTAATTTAGGTCCAGCATTGTGTAGTATTCACTTTCTCTCTTTTCTTTTCTCCCCCACTTCCTAAGGTGGATCTCCATACCTGGCAACCAAAATCAATGAAGCCAAGGACCTGCTGGAATCAAGCAGGAAAAATTAAAGAGATTTTCACCGTACCTCAGAAACCTTTTAGAGGCCGCCCAAGGACCTCTTACTTTCCAATTTGTAGGGGAACCACAGCACAGAAACCAAACTTCGGGCTTGTTAATAAAGCTTCAGCAGCTTTGAAGATGCTGTTTCAGGGAGTTCATAATCAAAATCCGGGCTTCCACGCTTCAAATCTCATTTATGGCCTCAGGGGGGATATGATCCTGGAAGCGTAAACCCTACGATGCAGAAAAGTTAGAACTGATATTATTTTTTAATACGTCATATTCAGGTTTTGAGTTTTTCGTCAGCAAAAAGCAATGTCTTTTGTTCCCTTTGAAAAATCAGAAGCGGTTGTAGATTATAATGATTCATTATCATCTTTTAATGACCCCATAATCGCTTGCGGGGTGGAATTGGGACAACTGAATGGAGCTGAGTGTTTTCATGGCCGACTGCCCTTCCTGTCACCAATGCGGAGTTATATTCAGCAGATAAATATTCTCATCGTGTCCAGAGAGAGAGAGAGAGAGAGAAATATCTGCCTCTACTTAGGATCGAACTCACAGCCTCCGGATTGTGAGGCGAGAGTTCCACCTCTAGATTATACTGTCCAATTCGAATTTTCCACTGTGAAAATTATGAAACAGATGCTTTAGACGTGTGAATTTCTCTCAGAGAAGTGAGCGACTCCTGTTTTACCTAAGTTGCCTGTCTTATTTTTAGTTCAAAACTTTTTTAAAATATTTATATTCGTGAGATGTTTTTTGACTACATCCATATGCTCCCCAGTGATTTTTATTTTTCCTGCTGGCATGTTTTTGATCTCTGTCCCGAGGTCTTAACTTGGATAAAAGGTGTCCTCCCTTCAGCGATGGGCACAGATTTGACATGTTCAGTGAAAAGGTTTGATTGACTTTCACTAATGAGGCAGGTGTAACCGTGGGGAGGAAAAATAAACCCAAAAGGCTTTCCTCTGGTTTTGCAAATCTCCACGTGATCTGCCTTCTTCCCCACCTCCAGCAAAATTGCTCTAGTAAGCCATGGAAATATTTATTTTTGCTTGATTTTGCGAGATGACATGGGCTGCGAATTCCCAGTTGAATCCTTGCTCATGTTGAGGGAAACGGTGTGTCAAAAGCTGAGGTAAAAATGGAAACCTGAGGTAAAAATGGAAACCACCATATATAAAAATTGTTGCCGGTTCCAACATTCTTCCTTGTGATTTAAATGACCTTCATATATGTGTGTGTGTGTGTGTGTGTGTGTATTTGCCTCTTTGTTTCCAACTGAATTTATTACTCCTCTTTTGTGTGAGGTAAATTTCATTCTTCCACTTCAAGGTTGCGGAAGGACCTTGTATTTTTCAGCCCTGCTTAGTTTATAAATCAGGTCCCCGTTTAAATTAGGATAAGCGTTAAAGGATCTCCAGTTACTTTCCAAAGGTTGATTTAATTAGTTTTAACCTCTCACCACATGAGCTGTGAGAAGGAGTCACAAGCCTAAAAGCAAAAGGCGCTTTTTTTGCATGAGGTTTTAAACATAAGAAAACGCCCAAAGCAAAGCAAGGAACGGTGGCATTAGAGCGTTCACTGTCATTTTACGACAGAACGATGCCTGCTTTACTAAATATATATATTTAGTATATTCGGCCTTTCCGCTACAACTGATGACCGAGGTTGTTTGCTAACAGTCAAGGCTGGGCGGGGAGGGGGGAGGAAACCAAAGGAAAATTAAATGAGTGCAAAATTTCTACTGAAATAAAAATAAGTCAGCTGAAACCGAACAAAATTTGCAATTCCTTTTAACGGCCGTCCAGCAGAGTCAAAAATTCCTTTCTTTGCAGAAGGCAAAATATTAAAATTATAGCCATGGCTTAGAGTGGTAATGTTTGGAGAGTCCTCAATTATGTGACAAAGGAAACGGTTGTTTTCAATTCATGCCGTCAAGGTGACACCGTGAACTTACACTTGGGAAAGCCGCTAGTCAAGGGGTGTGTGTGTGTGACAGATCCCCGTATTTCTGATCGCTGGACTACTCTGAAAACACCGCATTTTGACAGGCGGTGCTTACGGTGTCTTCTTGGGGAGAGGGTTCTGATTATGGCTATGTTGCCGTATCCGGACCTGCGACTGATGAACTGCGAAAACACTCCTAGTCACAAGCTTTGGTGTCTGGTAAAATACAGCCGAGACCTCAAAGTGTCTTCACTTGGCAAATAAGATAAAATAGTTTTATTTATTTTTTAATCAAGGCAAACGAAACAGATGGCTTGATTAAAAAAAAAAAAAAAATCAGTGCAGCTTCATCCAGAAATGCATGCTGTTAAAGTGCCCTTTTATGCAGTACAACTCTGTAGTTTTTGCAGATGGGATCTGGGTCTTCGTAACATTGGGAGTGGATTTCCTTTACTAGCCATTAGTGCATCGACTCTAACAAAACATATATGTGGGCCTGGAGACATGATAGATAGGTAGGTAGGTAAGTAGGCAGGCAGGCAGGCAGATGATAGGTAGACAGAATATATGATAGTGAAATAGATGAGTGGGATAGATAAAGGTAGACAGACTGATATAGATTGATGATAGATGGA